GCCAGGGACTGTGTGGCCAGAAGGGAGCCACTAGGATGACCTCCACTCCTTCTGACACCACCTTCCTCAGAACCCTGGGAATGAGAGGAAGGGGGGAAAGGCGTAGAGAAGACCTGGTGGCCATCCGCATCAAAGGGCATCCCTGTCCATGGCTCCCCTGGCTGGGAACCTCGATACGAATCTCAGCAGCTGGGCATTCGCTGGGGTTGCAAAGAGATCCACCGTCGGGTGCCTGAACCTCTCACAGATCTGTAGGAAGATTGAGGGATGAAGCTGCCACTCCCCGTTGTCGATCGTCTCTCTGCTGAGCCAATCTGCTTGCTGGTTCTCTGTCCTGGAGATGTGCTCCACTCTGATGGAGATGCCTTTCTGCCCAGTTCTCCAGTCGCAGGGCTTCGTCGCGAAGTGCCTTGGAATGGGTGCCACCCTGTCTGTTCACATAGGCCTTGGCCGCCACGTTGTCTATCAGGACGAGGACATGATGGGCAATCTGGGTCTCCAGGTGAGCTCCCCAGCCGAACAGGCTTGCGTCCATGGTGAGAACCTTTCTTGCTGGTTCCATGAAGAGGCATCCCTTGTTCAATGCTGGGGACAGCCACCAACGGAGCGAGAGCAGTACCTGGGTTGACACTCAAACCTTGAAACTGGCGTCGCTCATCCCAGCTCTCTGGTATGGGAGTAGGAACCACTGAAGCTGCCTGGCGTGTAGTCGGGCCCACGGCACGATCCCTATGCAAGAAATGAATTTCCCAAGGAGCCTGGAAAGAAGAACTACATGGACAGAGCGTAACTTGCGAACCTCATGAACCAGTTGCACAATGCTGTCCTTTCGATTTTGGGAAAGGAAGACCTCCCCAGCCACTGAATCTATAATGGATCCTAGGTGCTAGAGCCTGGTGGATGGGACCAGGTGGCTCTTCTCCAGGTTGATAGAGAATCCCAGGGACCTGAGGGTGCCGATGGTGGTCCCCAGGTCCTGCTTGGCAGATTCTGGGGACTTGACTAAGATGAGGATGTCATCTAGATAACAGAACAGATGGACTGGGAAGGAGCGCAGGTGGCCTGCGGCTGCCGACAACACCTTGGTGAAGGTTCTGGGGGCTGAGGCCAACCCAAAGGGAAGGGCCCTATATTAGAAATGGTTGCCCTCATGGGAAAAGCTAAGGAACTTGTGGTGTTCTGGGGCGATTCTGATGTGAAGGTAGGTCTCCGTGAGATCGATGGAGGCCAGGAAATCGCCCGGTCGGATGCCCGCTGAAATGGATTTTAAGGAGGCCATCTTGAACTTATGGTAGACCACCGGGAATTGAGTAGTTTAAGATCCAGGATGGCTCTCCACCCCCCTGAACTCTTGAAGACTAAGAACAGGTTCGAGTAGAAACCGGAGCCCTTTTCCCCCTCTGGGACCCTCTCAATGGCCCTGATATCTAACAGGTGTTTGATGGCCTTGGCCTTAAGGGTCTGTTTGGTCGGATCTGTGGAGGAAGCGAAGGTGCGGAACCTACTAAGGGGTAGTGAGCGAAACTCCAACTGCAGCCCAAGCTTTACAGTCTGGAGGACCCACTGATCTGACGTGACTCGTTCCCAAGCATCTGCGAAAAGGGAGAGGTGACCGCCAATGGGATGATCCACGGACGGATCACTTGAACCTGCGGAAAGGGCGACCGCCTCCTCCTCGAAAGGGCCGCTTGCCCTGCTGTTGGCCTCTGAACCTGTCTCTATGGAACTGCCTATCCCCCTGCCAGTGGAACCTGGGGTTCTGGTATCTCTGGTTCTGTGTCTCCACTTCAGGTGGGCAGTACGAGGTTCTCCTGAGATATGGAGCATGCCGGAAGTCTGAGCGTCTGGTAGTCGCCGGGAAGACCTTCCTCTTGCTCTTATCCTCCACCAGGATAGGATCCAGCGCAGTTCCAAACAGCTTGTCCCTGGTGTAGTCTGCTCCTGTCAAGTGCCACTTAGCCCAGGACTCCGCCTGCCAGTGGCGTAACCACAGCAGGCGCCTAGACACCACCGAAGATGACATTGCCCGAGACGCATACTTAACTGCGTCCAGGGTGGCATCCGCTGAGAACTGCATGGCTGCCAGCATCTTGGAGATGTCCTGCAACAAACGAACTTCTGAGGCCGGACTCCTGTCCCTCAGCTGTTCCAACCACAGCACCATGGACCTGTTGAAAAAAGATGCCGAAGCGGCTGCCCTAATGGCCCAGGTTATAGCCTGGAACGTCTTACATAGCACGATGTCTGCCTTCTTGTCCTCTGCCTTGAGGCAGCTGGCGATGTCCCCTGTGATCACCGCTGACGTTGAAGCTAGGGTGGCAACTGGGTTGTCCACCTCGGGAACCTGGAGAGCTTGGGCAAAGGTAGGGTTAAGGTTATGGAATTTCCTCTCATTTCCCCCTGGAGTGGGAAAGGACCCTGGCTTCACCCACTGAGATTTGAGCACCTCTAGAAACATATCTGGGGTGGGGGTCTCCTCCTTTGCCACCGGTGGTCTATGGAAGGGCCCCTTCTTCCTCTTGCCCTTGCTAGTGCTAGGCGTTTCAGACACAGGTTTGGGATCTGTGGGGGGATCCAGATCTGCTGTGGCCCTTGCCTTATGAAGCAAGGAGCTAAATAAGGAGGGGGTGAAAGACCAGCAACGGTAGAGTCGTCCTCTGCCTGGGCCTCCTCATCCTCAGAGAACCCCCACCTCCTTTAACTCTCCTTCCTCTAAATTGGAAGCCTCACTTGCAGTAGAGGGGGAGGGAGACCTGGCTCCTCTGACAGCAGATGTACTGGGGCAATCCTGGTGGCCCCTGGAGTGGCAGGAAACGCTATACTGTTTCAGACAAATGGCTATCCAACATTTTCTTAAAGACTTCCAGTATTGGGGAATTCACAACTTCTGGAGGCAAGCTGTTCCACTGATTAATTGTTCTGTCAGGAAATTTCTCCTCAGTTCTCATTCCTCTGGTCTACTAATTTTGTCACTTTGTCAAAGAATGCAATAAGAT